GTCTAGGCTTTTATGTCGTGTTTCCTTCGAGTTCCAAAAGAGTTTTAATGCAAAACGGAAAGTGCAGAATCGACCCTCTGGTTTTTGCCTATGCAACCGCATAGGCTTAAGAATTTTGGGGTCTTCACTTTCAGTTACCTAGCTCGTGACCGCATGGTAATAGTGAATGCGATCGCATAGAAGCTTCTTTTGAAGGTATTCATTTTAGTCCTTTAACTTTCTTCTCTTCCAATTTCACCTCGTTTCTTCCTTCTTCTATTTCCATCAACTAATATTGACCTCCAATTGGTACTTGGCATGATCAAATCTTCAATTTCTCCTTTCAGGTCATCTTTTGGTTATTTGCACTTGGGTCCCCTAAATTTTCACACTGCTTCGTTTTAGTCCTTTTTGCTTCTTTTTCTCGTGAATTCTATCATGTCCATCAGTATACCATACAATCCAAGAATTAAACAATTTAAAATCACAATTCAAACACTTTGCTCGTAATTTAGTCATGTTTGTGAGTTATATAAGTGCATAAAAACGCACTTATCAAATCCCCCAAACTTGAACTATTGTTTGTCCTCAAACAAAATAGTGACTTAACTCTCAACAAACATAGCTTAATAACCTGCCGTGTCTCAGGATTGAAACTTAGTATTTGACATCAGAAAAAATTTCAATAATGCATGAATGAAATCAAAATTTACCTCTTAAATGTACACTTAGCGTATGTGTGTGAACTCATGCCAACATATCAAGCTCATGATTGGTTTAATTCCGACCCAAAGTGGTCATATTTATCCTTACTTCACTTGTTAGATACACACCCCCAAACTTACTTTTTTCGCTCAATTATCCCGAGATGTGCTCTAAAGTTAGGAGCTTAAGTAACTATAGTCCTTACCCTCTCTTAGTTTGGATAGTTTTCACTATCACAAGTTCATATGTCAACAAATTGAGGTTCTCCTAGATTTGATTGCTTCAACACTTAAGATTAAACTCAGTTATTTGTCTCACCTCAAAGGTGTAATTTTATCAATCAAATGTCTAAGGGCTTTATCCATACTTTCTTGTTTTTTTTTTCTTATTTTATTTTTTTATTATCATTATTTTTTTTATGTCATCTTCTCATTTTGCTTTTTATATAACTCCTGTAATGAGCTTTTGGTCGATGACTCCCAAATCAGTTGGCTTTAGGGCACCAAGTTTTAAACCTCTATAGGCTTATTCACTCGAGTTATAAAGGCTCGATCAGATGACTTTTTATTGACCTCTTCCCTTCTTGCTTTCTATATGACCTCTGTAGCGAGTTTTGGGCCGATGACTCTCAAACCAGTTGGCTCTAGGGCACCAGATTTCAAAGTATCCTTACATGCTTACTTGCTTGAATCATAAAGGCATGGAAAAAGGATTCCTATTGTTTACTACTTAGATTTATGCCCTTTATTATTTTTCTAGACATTTGGTCTTTAACATCAACCCCTAATTTAAAACTTTCACCTAGTCTTCATCTCACATGTCTAGGTAATTCACACAACAAAATTCATGCACGGAGCCTCCACTTATCTCAATGTTCCCCTATAATTGTTAAACCGTCTCCAAACTATTTAAAAAAAGCTTATGAGTCAATACAATAGAGGTTTTCTAGTTTCTCCTATTTTACTCAAAAATCCAATCACTAACCTAACATGTAGAGCATGAGTGGCGTGCAAAGAATGTCAAGTGTTACATCAACAAGTATCAGCTAATCAAATTCTACACCATATCTACAATTTCTAATGTATACTTATTTCAATAATCACATCATTGCCGGCAAGGCTATCAAACCCATACAAGCATGTAATGAACTGAATACAACATATTTATCCAATAATCACTCATCAAGCACACAATATGCAACCAGTAAACAGAAGTATTGATGGATTGTGATAGATTCGAAACAGATTACATGCCGATAGTTTAGTGTCCAAAATGTGTCACCATTCAAAATATGCCACCACATAATTTGGAGGACAAGTGCAAATTAGAAATATGAGTTAAACACGACTCCACTGATCACTGTGGTGGTGGTGACTGGAAACTAGGTCCCGCAGTGTCCTTTCCTGGTGGAGGTGAGAGATGGACCAAGATATGCCTTAATAGGTTCGACTGCTAGACCTGCTTTACCTGCACAGCTCTCATCACGTTACTCTGTACTCTAGCTTTTTCCTCCATGCTACATATTCTTTTCCAAGTGTCATTTACCCTTATCTGTATGCCATCCACTCTACCCACATACACACTCAGCCGCTCGTTCATAGTCTCCGTCTCCCTCCTAACTGATCAGGCCTCCTAGTAAGCAGTTTGTGCTATGATTTGGATGGTACTGATATCACATTGGGCTGTCTGCATGTCGATCGTCAAAGTTCCTAGAGCTTGCAGGATGCCCTGTTTGTCGCAGCTGGTCCCCGTGAGAGTCGTAAATGTCTGACATAATAAGTGTGTATCAACTCCCATCAGTGGTGGAGGAGCTTGTGACATCTCTTTATTTGTAGCTGCTTGTCCTGCCGCAGCTTGTTGCTGCCTGCACTGCTCATTTTCTTCATTTTCTCTATGCTTTATCCTGGCTCTGTCCTGAGCCTCCAGTGAAGTGCGCTTTATAGGGGGACTAGGTTTAGCAGGAGCTTTCTTTGGTGGGATAGTGACACCTGCTGCCTTGCATATTCTACTGATGAGGCTGGGAAAAATTAGAGAACTATGCCTACTTCCCAAAGTACCCAAATTGTGTATCTGGTCATAGCAGAGCGTGGCAAGATCGATCTCATTTCCTCGAACCAAGTGATAGATGAAACCGACTGTAGGATCTGTGAATGTTGTTCTGAGTGATGTTGGCTCCATATTGTGGCACATAAATAGCCACAGGATGGCTAATTATGGTGTTAGCTCAATTTGGTGCCATTTAGTTGTTTGGAGTGGCCAAGCATTCTCTCGCCCCAATAGGACCTTTGCCATTCGTTCCAGTTAAACTCACCTGGGATAAGGGTTATGTTGTTCCACGTGAGCTGATAATAATCATGTATAACCTTAGGTGAGAACATGATCCACTGTTCCCTAACCCATGTCTGGTGCAAATGATCGGAGCCCGGTGTATCAATATCAGCATTGAAGTTCACATAAAATTCTCCAACCAAATTCTCATATACAGGGTGTGGCCGTTCCACTATTTTCTCCCATCCACATTGCTCGACCAAAGTGACTAATTCGAAGCCAGGGAAATCATCCAATTTTACTCGTCTCTTTGGGATAAGTGCCCACCGATTTACAACATTGGAATACCGGGTTAATGTTTCGAAGTTCGGGAATCTTTGTATTCTCCCTTCGAGCTCTCTAGTACGAGCTGTCCCAGATGATGTTTCGACTTTTTCCTTCCGTTTTGAGGTTCTTTTCAACGGCATCCTGTAAGCGGAAAATTTTCAATGTCAAAGTCACGGAGTGTAATGAATTATTCGTGAAGAACAACAGGAAAGTCTATTGTGACGCATAAGTCCCCCAAACTTACTTCACGATGCATGTTTATTGCATTGGTATGCAATATTCAACAATGGATGTTCGTGATAGTAGAAATGTTGCACCAATTATAAAAACTGAAAAAATTAGGCTTAAACATGCAGTTTTAGAAATTTTCAATCATGATCGAGTGAGGACTTTCGCCCCCGGGTATCACTAAGAATATCAAAAATATTCCTGGAAAACCTCCAGGCATATAGAAGTATTCAATGTAATCTAGCCCATATTGAAATTTCAAGTTGATCAGAAGTCGTTTGGTGAGGAAAATGAAAGGGTCAAATAGGTGACGTAGGGTGCCGTGACCTAGCCGTGTCGTGCCTTCGTGTGTGCAATTTGGGATTTTGTGTTTTCCAAAGCCTTTTCTGTGATATCTCATTACCCAAATGCTACTTAACTCAATTGGATTGCACCACGAAAGCAAAGTTTACAAAATTGCATAAAACTCGTCACTTAGGCATTTTATCGAACATGTTGTATGCGTGAACTTTGACTTCTGCCATATGAATGAATGAATGAGTAAAATCATTCCAACCAAGCATCAAAATCATATTCAATACCCATTGCATCTACCTATGTCCTTTTTCTATAATTTACTAAAGAAAATTGAATGTGGACCGAAAATTGAAATAATAAGGAGCACAAGAGAGGGACCGATTTCATACCTTGGAGCTAATGCTTATATGATGAATGTGTGGATTTTGCGATGTATTCCTGAGTGATTGTTGATAGTTAGGTGCAAGAAGATGAATTTGTGTGTGATATCGTGAATGTGTGCATGTGATTTGGGGAAATTCTCGGTGTTGAGAGTGTGAGAGAGGGGGAATCGGGCGTGTGAGTGTCGTGGGTTTTAAACTAAATTTTTTTATGCGACTACATAGAGCAAACTCATGCGGTTGCATAGGGTAGTGTGTCAGGGCCATTTTAGGCCCTGACCATGTACATGCGACCACATGGATGTTTAGTCTATGCAATCGTCCTTTTTTTTTTTTGGAAGAAAGTTTATTATGCAAATGAAAAATAAATAATGCAATTGATCCCCCAAATAAAAACATTGACTTAGCTCAAAGTTGCCTTAAAAGTTTGTTTTCGATTGGTGAATTGACCTGGCTACTCACATATCCGAAAAATTTTGAAAATATTTTAACCAACATGGGGTATGTGCCGGCCAATGGACTTGGCCTCAAACCAATTTTTGAATTGACTTCAACCCACATTCCGAAAATGTTATGATGACTGTGTACCTCTAAATGCGTGAATGTCACACCCAATTACCTAAAACAACTTCAATCATTCTTGACTCGTGCTCAATGCATAGGGACTCGTGTGGATAGTTCTTAGACTCTTCTAAAATGCATGGATGATCGATGATCTACATAAAAAATTGCAAACATTAAATTGAAAAATTCTTACGCTAATGCATATAAACAAAATAAATCAAAAGGATACAATGTGTTGCCTCCCACCCAACGCTATGTTCTAGTCAATAGCTCGACTTTCCCACTTCTGTTACAAGTAGGTGTCCCAAGTTGAACGGTGGACTTTTGTTTGGAGAAGTCACTGCCCCAATAGTGTTTTAGCCTTTGCCTATTAACTGTGAAGGTATCTTTTGTTTCATGGTTGACCTGTATGGTTCCATATGGCAGAACTTTTGTGACAGTGTAAAGACCCAACCACCTTGACCTTAATTTTCCCGGGAAGAGTTTGAGTCTCGAATTATACAACAGAACTTTCTGCCCCACTTCGAATTCTTGACTCTAAATGTGTAGGTCGTGCCACTTTTTTGTGCGTTCTTTGTAAAACTTCGAGTTTTCATATGCTTCCATCATGAATTCATCTAACTCATTGAGCTGCAGTAAACGCTTTTCACCGGCGACCTCCAAATCCATGTTCAACTGTTTCATAGCCCAGTATGCCGGTGTTCTATTTCTAATGGGAGCTGGCACGCTTTTCCAAAAACTAGGGCAATATGGAGACATATCCATCAGTGTCTTGAATGTTGCACTATAGGCCCATAATGTGTCATCCAGCCTTTTAGATCAATCCATACGAGATGAATTCACTGTCACCTCAAGCATTCTCTTTAACTGCCGATTGGAAACTTCAACTTGCCCGCTAATCTGTGGATGATATGGGATAGCTACACGGTGTTTAACGCCATATTTAGTCAACAACTGTTCAAACTAGCGATTACAGAAGTGTTTGTCCCGTCACTGATTATTGCCCGCGATGTGCCATATCTGGTAAAGATGTGTTTTTTCAAGAACACAATCACCACCTTTGCATCGTTTGTTGGCAATACAACTGCTTCCACCCATTTTGACACATAATCAACTATCACCAGGATGTACTGATTTGAGAACAATAGGAGAAAAGGTCCTATAAAGTCGATTCCCTAGACGTCAAATATCTCAACTTTCAATATGTTGTTAAGTGGCATCTCGTTCCTTCTTGAGATATTCCTCGTGCATTGACATCTATCACACCTCTTGACATACTCAAAGGCGTCTCTGAACAACGTAGATCAATATAACCTCGACTGTAAAATCTTCGTAGAAGTCTTTGAAACTCCAAAGTGTCCCACATAGACAGATGAATGACAATGCTCAAGAATTTCGGGTATTTCATCTTCAGGTATGCACCTTCTCAAAATTTCGATACCTATTATTAAGGACGTACCCGGCTTCCTATTTGAGATCTAAAGGCTCAGATGATTTTACTAGCCAATGTAAGGCAATCCTTGTCTGCTTTCATCCGGTGGGCGAATTTTCCATCTCCAAGGAAAAACACTTTGATCTCCCATCAGAAAAAATTCCCAATTCTCTTTACTTTTTTCCCAAAAATCTCTCTCAAGATTTTTTGTGTCGCCAACAACGTCTGCTCTCATTTTTTGACAAGGTTCAAGTTTTGTATTAGGTAATATTCTAGGTTTCCTGTTCGATAACCTATCTTTCTCTTTTTGGTTCTTGTTCTGTTCCTTTTTCTCCTTAATTTCACCATTATAAAAAAACTCTGGTGAGCAAATGCTAGATGTTTACGGAGGAGATGTTGCTTGAAAACTAGAGGGATGATGACAATGGCGAAGGCGAAAGCATGTGCGGTCATGGACTTCAACTAAAATGGTGGCGAACATACAATCTTGCCACGTGCCTAACTGCTAGAAGCCTGCTTTGCTTTCACTGCCACATCAGTGCCTAGATGGAATTCATGGTGTAACAGATTTTATTTTATTTTTTCAGAAAGGAGAGTTATTATAAAGAATAAGCTTATTTTGTGTTGATTTCTTAAAGTGGTAGATTTAAAAATTCATCTTCGCTAGGGTGGATATATATAAGCTAGGGCAGACACTTGACGATCGCTTGAGTGAATGCTCAACGACAATCCAATATATAGGAAAAAAATTTCGAGCTCCGAACGGCTGCCATGACTCGTTGGACCATACATATAGCATCAAAACATTAGTAGAAAACAATAGAAGAAAATCTTTATCAACTGCAATACATGCAAAAATTAAGTCACTTTGGACCTCAGCATAAAATGGTAATAAAACAATAATAAATATGTAATTTTTTTAATTTTTTTTAATGGCTAATTAATGACTATAACGATAAGAGAAAGCTAGATAAACTTTGAAATGTCACCTTCAAAAGTGTTGCAAAGTCCTCAAAATAACTAAACTCGTCATTTCAGAATCTCAATAATTGCACATGTGAACTTGCGCTAACGGACATTATTTGGAAAAATTTAGTGAACTCTCTCGGTGTCAAAATTTGTATCCAAAAAATTATTAATTTTATCCAAATTCCTCATTTCAGAATCTCAATAATTGCATTAATGAACATGTGCTAACAAATATTGTTTAACTAAAAGGATTTTATTACATCTACATCAAAATTTACATAAAGGATTACAAAATATCACTTGAAAACCTTTTACATGTACATCAAGATTTACATAAGGGATTATTCGTGAAAACCTTTTACAAAGTTCAGTGACCATTTGGATTATTATCTCTTGATTTAAGACATATTCAACTTTTTCATTCAGTCTTTTCCCTCTACATCATTTTCGGTAACCTCTTATGTATATTTTTGATGTACAATTAGCAAAACCCTAACAAAAATCATTGAAATCTATCAGTGTTGTCGTGTAAAAATTTTATTCAAAGCAATTATTAATTTTATATGATCACGGTTAAGGTTAATTCTCTATTCAATTACAATACATAAGAGTGTCTACACACACACACACACAAAAAATTAATCTTTTAAGATATATAAAACTCAAACTCAATATGGTATCATAATTTATTAAGCTTACAAAATCAATTTAAAAGCTTAAATGTCTGATAGTTGTATTATAAGGTTGATGTCCTTAAATGATTCATCTTGCGTTGACTTTTAATAACTGATACAAATGGGATTAGGTACTACTTTTATCACCAATGTTGACCTTTTAAAGGGATCCAATTGTCCCATATGTTTTAACATTTAACGGGCGGTTCTATCCATTAGAAAGTTCAAATGAGTAGTTGAAAAAAGAGTATCTTCTGTAAACAATTATTTATAAATATTTTCAAGTAGTAGAAAAATGATAAATACTCAAACAAGAAACAAATATTTTGTGATTTTTGTTTTGCCACAAATTTGTACATAATTTTGTTAATGCACTAAAACTGAGCACT